CCCCCCCCCCCCTCCCCTTTATAGGCTCAGTGAAAGGAGTGAGTGGAAACGACGTGGGCGTGAGGGTTGGAGAAAGAAATGACAAAGACTCTCACCATTCGGGGTGCCGTGTAATGAGTGGAAATATAGTCCAGAAGATGAGCCCTTGAAATGGAGTTGATGTTCGAGGCAGGCCCAAGGATCGTCCTTCCTAAGGGACTGTGCTGGAAGGCTGTTGCATGCAGATGGTCAAATAGAACTTCCTCGACTTGACCCTCAACCTGATTGAACCAATCATACAAGTTGGGTTCAAACCACAGATCAGTACAGCAGATTGGCAAATCACACAGATAACTCAACATTTTTTTCTGCTAAAAGGCAGAGTTTGCAGCGGCAGGCCCAAGGATCGTCCTGCCCAACGGACTGTGCTGGAACACTGCTGCGCCCAGATGGTCCAACAGCACCTCCTTGACTGTGGCCCCAGGGGCTATGCAGATGAGACAAAATACGTAATAAAGACGGAACAAAGCAGAGATAGATCAGTAGATTCGCAAATGGAGCACATTTTTTTTTTCTGAGAAAGGCAGAACAAAAGACAGCCTGCGGATCATCCGTTCCAAGTCATCAAACCTTCATCAGTATGTACAGATAGCTGTGCACCTTTCACACCCCGAACAGAACGCACCCTGATCATGAATGTATACAAGCTATGTTTCCGACGTTGTACAGTCATGACCAGGGTGCAGTGTTCCAGGGGGGAAAAGAAGGTAGTTAAACAACCCCCTCAAAGCAAACAAAAGCAACCCCCTCATAGCTGGTTTGATAACACAATCGCCACACTCCATTCAGTAGAGGTTCGGTAGAGGCTCGGCAAGGGTCCAGTGCAGGCCTGCTTGGGAGAATACCCGTCCAGCTCTCGGTCTCTCCTACTGCTTTCGAGATGGCCCACTACAGTCTTCCCCTGAACACAACGCACCCTCATTTTGGCCGTATCTGGCGGGAAATATAACCTTGTATACACTCATTTTAAGGGTGCGTTATGTTCAGGGGAAGATGGTAGTCGCTGCGGCGGAGTTCAAGGAGGCAGAGGGTCAGGGTGCAAGTGGGTGGGTCTATAACTGTATCGCCCTGTGCACGGCCTCCCAAGACTACCTTCAAGAAGGAATTTTTGAGCCCATCCGATCTATTGGTGATTGGTAAAAGACCGACCTTGGGCGGAGCCTCTGGAGTTGGAATTTGCTCACTCCTCACCACAAAGTGAATCGTTACTGAAAAAAAAAAAAAAAAAAAAAAAAAGTGAATCTTTGCTGCGTTTATCCGTACATCCAGGTCGTTGGTTGCTACTATGAGGTGGAGGATTCCTCTCGTACCACTTTCAACTCCAACCGAATCCATTAGCATGTATGTGGCCCGAACCTTGCCTTCAATTCACTCCGTTAACAATCCCATGTACGCTAAAGCCGGGAAGCTGGTCAAGGTGTAAGAGCCTGGGGAGCTCAACGAAACTTGCCTTCAATTCACTCCGTTAACAAACCCATGTGCACTAGAGCCGGGAAGCTGGTCAAGCTGTAAGAACTCGGACCTTACCATCCTTCTCTCTTCTCTCTTTCCCATGTTTACCCCTCGACCACTTATCCCTTCGCCCTCTACTTCTCCCTTTTCTCTTCCTTCTCTTCGGCGCGCTTCTCCTCGACCTCCATCGTCCCAATCTTTCCCTCTCTTCTCCTCCTTCCTCATCCTCTCTCTCCTCTCCTTCGTCCTGCTTGATCGCCTCCCCTCCCTCTCTTTCACTCCCCCGCCTCTCCTTCGTCCTCCGATCCTCACTCTTCTCCTCTTTGCCTCTTACAGCAGCTTCTGTGTCGCCTCTTGGTCACCTTTTTTTTTTTTTTTTTTTTTTTAGCATCCGGTACAGACAACTACTGATCAGACTGTAGCAGGAGCGCGTGTCCAGTTGAAGCCTGCCCATTTGCATGGGGCTCCATTCTAGTGATGTGGGGCTGCTGCACCTGTTGGGGAAAAAACGGGACCAACGTCCCCTGTACACGACGAAAAGTTGCGACGGGAACTGGATCCATGGGTTGTGTGGGAGGTGGGTGGGACTGTAGGCGCCTCTTCATCACCCTCAGTACAACTCTACTCGCCTTTCCTATGTCTATCAGTACTTAAGTGTGGGCCAACGACACCCTTCGGGAATAACTCGCATAATGGTCAGACACAAGGAAGACAAGACCGTACACAACTTACAACCAGGGAGTCTTTCCCCGAACACAACGCACCCTGTGACTATCAGGCCGGAAAGATAGATTGCATACATTCATGTTGAGGGTGCGTTGTATTCGAAGGAAGATGGTAGGCTCGACAAGCCACACACACCACCACCCATGGCGACTGCGCAATGAAGGCTACCCACACTTATACACAGTTATCTTCCCTGAGCACTCTCATCTTCCTGCGTCGTGCCCACCAGTCCTTCCAATAGGACGCTAGTACTCACCCAAAATGGAAACTACTTGGCCTTACCCAAAAGGCAAAGTACTTGGCCATAACGTCGCCGAGACAGTCTATGCTTGGAAATGGCCATGAGGTGAATCTTGTGCTCCTGCCACTGCAGCTCGAAACCATAACATCACTTTACACCTCCCAGAAATCCGATCCTTAACATCATCCTTCTCCCGATGATGATCCTCCTCTCCGGACCGTCATATGTCTGAACGGATACCGGCACTGGTAAGCAGTATGCCAGTCTTCGCCACCCCTTAAAGAGCACTTGACTCGCCGACTGCGTATCCAACGACTCCTCCACGTTCCCAGATGCCTACATCATATATCTTCTACCACTCCACTCTAACTTCTTTCCATGATTCTTTCCACTTGTCAAAACCATTCTCCCCCCCCCCCCCCCC